AACTTTGTCGTTGCTCATATCTTCGGAACATAGTATTCTCAGCATCCTTCTGTAGAATCACGTTTCTATTGCTTCAATGCATCTATACACTTCGTGATTCCATTTAGTTACTTTTTTTTATAAGTGGATTTGGTGTTGAGTCAGCAGTACCAAGATTAGACTTAATTCAGTTTTGGTAACCAGGTGCCTCATTGTTGGTGGAAGAGTTTGTTCCAGTGACAGATGTTTCGACTCCAGTCTGGCCCCTCCATGACCCAGACAAAGATTGATCCGGTATGAGATTTTATTTGTAAACATTGAGATTTTTTGGCTCTTAATCCGTAAGCGCTAATTATTTAAAATACTATCTTTAAGAGTAAGACGACCAAAACTAAAGAGCTCGCCCTGACTAAAAGAAACGGCTATATTCCCTATCGGACGCCAACCCGATATTTCTAGACCTCGGGGTTTGTGTTGAGACAACAAGTTTCTTTAGCAGAAGATGCAAATAGATGAGGTACCAGAGGACAATAAAATAATGTAACTATTGTCACTGTATGGAAAGGAACCTATGCAAGATGTGAGAAGTACCTACAAGGATGATTTTTTGCAAGTCACATATCTTAAGTCTATTAAGAATTTGATCCACATATTCATTTGCCCCTTTTGATATAATTCGTAACAACCCAATAGCAACAGCGAACGCTGTTGTCTTGAGACGTCACATTATACTGATTTCTATTTCGAAGACTTTATTTACATAGTTTCACTTCATCATTATCATCATGTTTTTCTTACTTACTATCATTATTATTACATTCTACTGATTTTCCTTTTTCTTCTCACTATTATTATTATTATTATTATATTCTACAGAGTTATTTCTCGAAGTCTATTTACCTAGTTTCACTCTTTCTTCTTCTTCTTCTTCTTCTTCTTCTTCTTATTATTATTATTATTATTATTATTATTATTTCCTTGGGTTTCTATTGTATACAGGTTTCCTTCCGGGTCCCAACCGGAGACATAAGGTCAGAAATTGCTTCATGACATTTTCCACTGATCATTATTATTATTATTATTATTATTATTCCATTTCGATTTCTGATATGGTTACACTACCTACCAAGTCTGCAGGAAGACCCAAGGCAGGTAGTGGTGAGTTGTTATGGCTACATTTCAGGATTTGTTTTTCTAACTCCAATAACCTCATTATCGTTACATAGATAAAGTTCTTCTTAGTGTGTGGGCTGTACTTATCAAAACAATTTTTTTGTATTCTCTTAAGCTGGGATTTCCAGGGATTTTTTTTTCAATGCGTTGTTGGGATAAAAAAATCATTCCAAGTGAACCTAATATGACCGGTACTCTTTTTGTTTTCGTTTTTCACATTTTTTTTATTGATATTTCTTTATGCTGCGATAGTTCTTTTTTTTTTTATTTTTTATTTTTTTATTAATTCCTTGTTTGCTATGCTACAGTCTACTTGTCAAGCCATATCAATTAGTAGGCAAATATTTTCTCGTCGGTTTTTGACAATTATGTCCGGCCTATTTGCTTCAATCTTCCTGTCTGTAAAGATGGTGTTATTTTATAGAATATTGATATGTTCTATTTCTGTAACAGGTAATAGGTGATATTTATACCAGCGTTTGTTAACATCTTTTCCAAAGTGTTTGCACATTGTCCAGTGTAAATATTGTCCCCGCCCTCTATCGTGACTATTTTTATATTCATTTGGTACAAGTACAGAACACCCTGAGATTAGATTGTATGTGGTTTCCTGATATTTGTCACAGAAATTGCATTTTTGATTCACACTATTATGTATGATATTTACTTGAAAGTTCCTAGTGAAAAGACTCTGGTCTTGCACTGCAAAAATAAAGCCTTCCATTTCAGCCTTTAATCTATATGCTCGTAACCATCGATAAGTGTTAACTTTATCAACATCGGCTTTATTAGCCTCGTTCTGGATATTGGCCATGGAGATGTTTGTCTTACCAGCGTTGTTTCATCGGTTCAAGAGCTTTATGCTTGGCTTTCTTTTCCATAATTTTTGCAGCAACAGTTTGCTCTTGGGTTCTGTTTTGGTTTTCTACAGAATCTACTAAATGTAAATCTCGTTTGTATTTACAACCTTCTTTCATGGTTAAATATTTTTTCTTTCTGTTTTCGTGTTGTTTGATTAATTGAATCATCCAGTCCTCTGCTGTTTCTATGTATGTTAGTAAACCAAAAGTTGTCTTGTATGACAATTCTAGCTGAAGACCTCTTCCACCTTCTTTACGGGTTATGTATAGATGGCCTGCATCAGCCTTTGGATGATGCATGTTATGCTTAGAAAGAGGCTTGCTTGTCTTAGGATCCATTCACCTGATGGAATTTAGAGTCCAGTTCAAGATGTTGAAACTATATTGAACCACTGGGATGGAAAGGCTATTAATGGCCATAATTCTGAGAATTCATTTCAGTTTTTAATATCAGTCGCATCCTTCTATAGTACTCTTTTCGCACTATTTCTTTCATTTTTATGGTGAATCCCTTCACCCTCATTTACACCGAGGTACTTGCTCTAATCTTTGACTGTAACCCCAGGGTTTAAGCTAATAGAGAAGGTTTGCTGTAGTGACCCTCGTAAAATTATGGTTTTAGAACATTTATCCAAACTAAAATCCTCTCAAATGTCATCACTGATGATGATGATTGTTGTTGTTGTTGTTCTTCTTCTTCTTATTATTATTATTAATAATAATAATAATAATAACAATAACAATAATGATAATAATAATAATATTGCTTTCAACCCGGATCTTATATTATGGGCGTTCTCCATCAAGTCATGCGCCCTCAAACTGATTATTATTATTCGAACAGACACATCTAGTATAAGAAGAGAAATAGAATTTAAAAAAAACTTTGCGTTCAAGCGATCTTCAATAAATGTCCAATCTTTTTTTAGAATTTAAAAATGTCCAATGTTTTTTTAGAATTTAAAAATGTCCAATGTTTTTTTAGAATTAAAAAAATATCGTTACACCATAGTCGCAAATCGTTCGAATTAAATGTTATATATTTTTATACGTTGTGTTGGCGTTTTTTTTTAATAAATGGAAGTCTCCGTTTTATACTTGCATATTTGAGGTTCGATGTGGAAACTCAAAGGCTTTTTAGTGCATAAAACAATATGGATTACTCATACCCCGAACCATATCCTTCGTAGATGTATGCTAAGTATATTTATAGTCATTTAGTACTTTATCAGTATGGCCTTGTACCAGGGTTGGCTTAGTCCTGCAATTTACTATAATATTATATTATATTATATTAACTGATTATTCTTCAAGATAAATCACAGGGGCACCGGACCGTATATGGCAGCAATATTCTAAGCATGGACGAATGGTAGACTTAAAGATATGTAAGATAGATTCTGAAGAGAAAAATTGTCTCGCACAACACAGTGAACCACCTTTCTTAGCAGCTGACTCAGCAATGGATTTAATATAAGAAGATTTTATAAAAATAATTTTATAAGATAAAATAATACCAGTCTATATTTCTGAGATGAGGTATTATGTACATTATTTACATTATTCAGATTATTATCCTCATCTTTGTCGCCATATTTATTACAACATTTCGGCCGTTGTACGCTCCGGCCTTCTTCAGGTGGTTGGTTGTCCTCAAGGACACATGGCGAATAAAGGCGTTGGTTAGATCCAGTGACAGGACCCAAAGAGTATGAGTCCAATACCCAGTTAAGGCAGTGGAGAACATTCAGAGGTGAATTAACAGGAGATAACTGACATCCATTAAACATGGCATGTGGAACTAGAACAGTCTACCCCAGTGAGGGAAATAAAGGGTTCAGTTCGACATTCCAACCACCAGAAGAAGGCCGGAGCGTACAATGGCCGAAATAATGTAAATAATGAAAATAATACCAGTAAATGTAGAGAATATAATAAGTAAAAAAAAATAAATATAAACAGGGGAAGACAAAATAAGGAACACAAGTGAAATATATACGGTATAGGTACGTATCAGGAAAAAAGGGGTAAAGTTGGAAAAGAAATACATCAGCGATATAAAAAAAGGCGCGAACGAATATGAACAAAAGTTGGAGAAAGGAGAAAAAAAATTCTAATTCTTCTGTTATATAAGGTATTTGTAGATTTTAAGCGGTAGATTTTTTAATCTAATTTTTAGATTTTAAGATTTTATTTTAGGCATAGTGTAACCGGTTACTGAAAATTTACCTGTGTATAGTGCGACCCCTATTTTTTTTGTGCATAAAAAACTAATCATAAAAACTCAAGTATATACGGTATATTTCGGAAACGTTACAGGTTCGGTTCCATACAACCGCAATGAAACAACTATAGGCAAATAATTAACTCCCAAACTGGGTTCAAAAGAATATGAATATTTAAAAATAGGTTTAATACCAGAAACACTTTGTAAAAAATTATTATCAGCGATAAATTTTTGAAGAAAAATTATTACCAGCAATACATTTTTGAAAAAGAAAAATATTACCAGCAATACATTTTTGAAAAAGAAAAATATTACCAGCTATACCTTTTTGTAAAAAGAAAAAGATATTATCATCAATAAAAATTGTCGGCATTAAATAACCCATTGTGGTTGATATGCCGTAAAAGAAAACAAACCAATCTAGTCTATTCTGTGCAACAGTATTAGGTGTAAAAAAGAAGGAAAATAGTGAAACGAAAAAAAACCCCCAAAAAACAAAAACAAAAAAACCCCAAAAAACAAAAAAAAAACTATAAAGAACAATATACCTACCGTAATTAAAAAAAATTCATTGTCGCTTAAACGAAATTTAATGATTTATTGATTTCATTTTTAACCGTTTGTGGGTTATCTAAAGCCGAAACCTATTTTTTATGGTAAGAATAATTCATTTTTTTCTTTTTTCCTACTAAATGTTGCATAGACAGTATATTTTAGAATAGCAATGTTTTTGTTTTTAGATGCAAGTCCTACCGTTTAACCCATAGCTAACAAAACGGCGGAAGAGAGGGAGAGAGAGGGGAGAGAGACAGGAGAGAGAGAGGAGAGAGACAGAGAGAGGAGAGAGAGAGGAGAGGAGAGAGACAGAGAGAGGAGAGAGAGGGGGAGAGAGGGAGAGAGAGAGAGAGAGGGGAGAGAGTGAACAAGAGAGGGGGGTTGAACAAAGGGGTTGGTAAAATTTGAATCGCAATAAAACGAGCTATGTATTAGGTGTTAGGTGACACACTAAGACATACCAAGATCAATTCCTAGGAAAGGCACCCCCCATACACAATAATGCGCAAAAGACAAAACAAAAACAAGGGATCATAATAACAAACAGTGTGACCGGAATAATGAAAGATCGTGTTCCAAGCTTTCCTGATTAAGGCTACAGTTGGTCGGTTGAAACAGTGCTTAATAAAAAACAAAAGCAAGACAAAAAAAAAAAAAAAAAAGAAAGAAAAAAAGAAACGAAAACAAAAAACTAAAAGGTTCACGCTGTATACATGTAAAGATACGGTATGAGGCGTCCCCATAATTGACCTAAATCTCATTTCACAAACTCCGATCTACACACAAGCACACGCACGCACAGAAATTGATATACACTTAAAATAAAGGATAAATGTGCTTGCGAAATTCAGATAAGAATGCCATAAGTATTTTTTGCACTGATAAGAAGCAATTAGTTGCATAATTCGATACGATAATCAAACGACATGAGAAACAACAGACGAAAGAAAAAAACAGTTGTGTTCAAACATTTCTCTTGATGTCGAGTTTGTCATTTTACTTATTAGAAGAGTATTCAGAGACACTTTAAAAACGATCGTAATAAATTCAGTTCAGCTGTGGGACAATAGTTGAATATTTGCTAGAATTCTTGATGTTTAAAGCCAGACCTTTTACCAGGCTTCACACGAAGACAGCATCCTAACCAATAGTTTTTTCTTCTTAACCAATAGTTTTTCCTTCCTAACCAATAGTTTTTTTCTTCCTAACCAATAGTTTTTTCTTCCTAACCAGTTTTTTTCTTCCTAATCAAGAGTTTTTTCTTCCTAACCAATAGTTTTTTCTTCCTAACCAATAGTTTTTTCTTTTTAACCAATAGTTTTTTCTTCCTAACCAATAGTTTTTTTCTTCCTAACCAATAGTTTTTTTCTTCTTAACCAATAGTTTTTTCTTCCTAACCAATAGTTTTTTTCTTCTTAACCAATAGTTTTTTCTTCCTAACCAATAGTTTTTTCTTCCTAACCAATAGTTTTTTCTTCTTAACCAATAGTTTTTTCTTCCTAACCTATAGTTTTTTTCTTCCTAACCAATAGTTTTTTTCTTCTTAACCAATAGTTTTTTCTTCCTAACCAATAGTTTTTTTCTTCTTAACCAATAGTTTTTTTCTTCCTAACCAATAGTTTTTTTTCTTCTTAACCAATAGTTTTTTCTTCCTAACCAATAGTTTTTTTTCTTCCTAACCAATAGTTTTTTTCTTCAACCAATAGTTTTTCTTCCTAACCTATAGTTTTTTTTTTTTTCTTCCTAACCAATAGTTTTTTTCTTCTTAACCAATAGTTTTTTCTTCCTAACCTATAGTTTTTTTTCTTCCTAACCTATAGTTTTTTTTCTTCCTAACCAATAGTTTTTTCTTCCTAACCAATAGTTTTTTCTTCCTAACCAATAGTTTTTTCTTCTTAACCAATAGTTTTTTCTTCCTAACCTATAGTTTTTTTTCTTCCTAACCAATAGTTTTTTTCTTCTTAACCAATAGTTTTTTCTTCCTAACCAATAGTTTTTTTCTTCTTAACCAATAGTTTTTTCTTCCTAACCAATAGTTTTTTTCTTCTTAACCAATAGTTTTTTCTTCCTAACCAATAGTTTTTTCTTCCTAACCAATAGTTTTTTCTTCTTAACCAATAGTTTTTTCTTCCTAACCTATAGTTTTTTTTCTTCCTAACCAATAGTTTTTTCTTCCTAACCAATAGTTTTTTCTTCCTAACCAACTAATATTGTGCAAAGCAAATCAATCTGAATAACGAAATTTTTAAGAGTTACCCTACATTTGCTTATTCTTCTTTATGTGTCGCCTCTCCTCAGGACGTAGGCGATAATGGCTCTCCACAACTTTCTATCCTTGTAGCTCTTAAGAAAATAGAAACAAAAAAGAAACTAATACTTAACATCAGGAAAAGACAGTTGGGGTTTCTCGGGAATATTATGAGGAAAGAGGGTTTCAAAAATCTGATACTCACAAGAGAGATAGGGGAAGAAGAGGGAGAGAGGAAGATAACGCATAACATACTTAATGAGCTTGAGGGCTCAGGAGAAATAACAGAAAGACAAAAAGTTTATTAAAAGCTACAAGGAACAGGGAATTGTGGGAAAACCATGATCGTTTGCGTCTGGAGGATTAAGAAGAATTACTGAAACAATTATATTTTAAATATTTTATACATATTAAGAAAAAAATCTAAAATAATTATGAAAATATTATTATTAATAAAATAATTACAAATATTAATACCAAATTAACTATTTATTATTATATCATTATTGCATTATATTATTATCATTATCATTTTATAAATTATCATTTATCAACATTGTATTTCAATTTTTATATCCATTTTTTACAATTATCTCAGTATCGAATATCGTAAAAATAACGTGAAAATATATGACTTATGCGAAGTTCACAGTATATTTTTCGTCGTCTTGAAAATCGAAGTTTTTTTTTATTCGCGTGGAAAGCTGGCCATCGTGGCAATGCCGCACATGTTTTTGCTGTTACGGGCTAACTTAAAGTAGCCGTCCAATCCCCAAGTGGAACCCCAACTGAAAAGAAAGAAAAGAAAAAAGTAGAGATACAATTGCTTATTATCATATTATACTTTTGCTTCTTCTTCGGTTAGTTAGTATTATCACGTGTGTTACGTACCTGAGATAAATAATGGACTGTTTCGTTATGACTTTCTTTTTTTTTACAGTGGTGTTCGCCCTATACAAGGCCATGGGGTCACTCGAGGTAGAGGATTACAGAGTAAGAGGTACAGCTTAAGCGGTCATATGCTTTAGATAACGATTAACCATAGACTTGATTGTAATAATAATTGAAGCAGCTTCTTTGGAGTCAGTTCCACAGGGCGGTGTTTCATGGGAAAAATCTGCTTGTGTGGAACTTACATCTCACCAGAGGGATATGAAAGGAAATGAGGTCGGTTCGCTAAAATATGCTTGGTATGGCCGTGAAGGTTGTGAGTGGCGGAACAAAGAGGTGTAGTTCCTCTGAACACTCACCATAGAAATACAGAATAAATATATCAGAGACGCTTCATGAATTTAAATGCAATGTCAATCGTCATCTTCTGTCTCTTTGAACCTTGTTCTTTTATTGTCCTCCCTTTTTCTTTCACTATCAGTAACTTTTACTGACTTGTTCGGGGTGAAATGATTAAAAAAAAAGATAAAGGAGGCGATAATGCAATTTTTATATATAATATTTATATTATATATGCGCGATATAATATTTATATATTATATATGCGCGGTACTTATTGGAAAGCGCTATCAGTGATAGAACTAACATATATTTGACAAACTCACATCAACGTAACAATCGAATTCTCTCAGTCACTCTGTATTTATCTTCATCCCTGCCGTGCGCCAACGGCTTAGTGGTAGAATCCCTGACTGACGCCAATTCAGTCGGGTTTCGATCCTAGCTAGAGGCAACCGGACGTCTAGCCACACTGATGAGCTGTGATACGGCGAAACAGTCTGTCTGGATATATATGCTCCTGAAAAATTTATTTCGGTTGAGGAAGTGCGGATTTGTAAACAGTGACTATTACGGCTAATAATGCAAGACTCTTCGGTAAATCGAATCGAGTTCTTTCAGTCACTGTGTGTTTTTCTAAAAATAAATTCATCTTCATCACTGGCGTAGAATCCCCGACTGATGCCAATCAGGTTTCGATCCTAGCTAGAGGCAACCGGACGTCTAGCTACACTGATGAGCTGTGATACGGCAAAACAGTCTTTCTATGGATGACAATATATATATATATATATATATATATATATATATGAATAAAATGACAAGAGGAAAAACTATTGTTAGTCGACGCATTTCGCCCTCTGAGGGATTTTATCAAGGCAAATGTATGAGTTATTTTGTTGCACGTGCAAGAGCAAGGGTGTCATTGATTTATCCAGGCTTTTAAATTTGAGAATGTTCATAAATATTCATCAGGTGGTTGAAAGATCAATCAAACATATAGAGGACACAAAGTGCCATAATTCAAAGTTTAGTAACACAAAAGTAAGCGAGTAATATACGTTAAATCCATTACCTCATGTTGTTTTAATATGTACAGCACATACGTCCATCCCAAACCATAACAATCTGATCACAATTTAAACAATATTCATTTATTAAAAAAAAATATTTCTTGAATATTTAGTCGTTTTGTTCCTTTACAGATGCACTCTATCTGAAAATAGTTTACACACACACACACACACACACACACACACACACACACACACACAAATATATATATATATATATTTTCCGTGACCTAATTTGTAGGGCACACTTTGGGTCAAAAGAAGTTTTTTTGAAGGAAAGGGAGAATACAGGTTCGATTCCTATCAGGAAGATTATTTTTTCTTTAATGGTGTTTCTCGATCTCTGGGGTAGTTGACAGTAATTGCTCTGCTTAAGATAACAGTGATGTCTGAGTTGACATCCCTGTCATTTCGAACACCTGTATCTACGAAATATGATGTTTATAGCATTAAGAACTATATATATCCTGAAACCTGGACACGAGAATTCTTTTATCTTGCGTAATTTTATTAATTAGTTTTTTTACATGAGGGATTGGAAGTCTTTCGATATTGGTACCTATAGCGAGGATATTTTTAAATTCAGTGTTATCCTTTTCTTAGACTGTTGGCCAATGAAGACTAGAGAGCACAGTATGTGGTACTATTTCAACATTAGCTCAGAGAAGAAATGGGCTCAAGACATTCCCTAAAACATGCGTATTAGGATGCCTGTTTTGCTGGTTCAAACTTGCACAACCAAAATAAATAAATTAACCCATCTTAAAACAATCAGTACATCACATACAAAAAAATTCGGGTTATCTAGTTGAAAAAGTAAGGGAAACAAATATAACTGATAAACTCTTGGTCAGTCTAGAAATAAAATCACTTAACACTAACGTCTCGTTTAAAAAATGCGTAAATCTCTTAAAAAACATTTGACGCAATCAAAGATAAAACTATCCCCACCAATAGCAAAGATAATAAAAATCTGTCGTCTCATCACCAACTATCTATCTATCTATCTATCTATCTATCTATCTATCTATCTATCTGTGCATAACCATGAATTAAATAAATAAATACAGATACAAGTAACCATACATGAGGGCATATATAAATTGGCAAATAAATATTTTATTTAATTTTTGGTATCTGTCTATATTTCTGAGATGAGGTATTATGAACACTATTTACATTATTCGGAATATTGTCCTCATCCTTGTCGCCATGTTTATCACAACGTTTCGGCCGTTGTACACCCCGGCTTCTTCAGGCGGTGGAGAACTTTCAGAGAGGAATTAACAACAGATAACTAGCATCCATTAGGCATGTCACGTGGAACTAGAACAGTTTACCCCAGTGAGCAAAATAAAGGGTTCAGTTCGACATATCAACCACCTGAAGAAGGCCCGAGCGTACAACGGCCGAAACGATG